TATCTCACATTATCATACGGTATATTTTGTGTCACAAGAACTTTCTGCCTCCATTTCCTCTCAATGCCTTCTCAATTGGCTTGGAATGGTGCATTTTAGAGCCAACTGGCGATATCGGCTATGTTACACCTGGTAATGAGCAATGAGTCAGCATTAATCATTAAACCCTGTAAAAACTTCAGGTGACAATGACTCCAATAGGATAATGTTGCAACTTTAATTTGAAAGGAGTAGTGTGGGTCTAAGATTAGAGCAAGTTTTACATCTGAATAAAGGTAGATGTAAGGTTATAACGGGAGAACTAGCTAAAATGAGCATTTAAACTAAACATACTAAACTATACTAAACTTGGACGGCACGGTGGCTCAGTGGTTAGCACTGTTGCCTCACAGCGCCAGTGACCCGCGTTCTAGCCCACCCTCGGGCGACTGTCTGCGTGGAGTTTGCACATTCTCCCCGTGTCTACGTGGGTTTCCCCCGGGTGCTCTGGCTTCCTCCCACAGTCCAAAGATGTGCAGGCTAGGTGAGTTGGCCATGCTAAATTGCCCATAGTGTTCAGGGATGTGTAGATTAGGTGGGTTTATAGCGGAATGGGTTGGGTTGGGGTGGAATGCTCTGTGGGTCGGTGTGGACTTGTTGGACCGAAGGGCCTGTTCTCGCACTGTGGGGATTCTATGATAAAGATATCTCAGTCGATATGCGGCAGCTGGTTTTAAAGGAGAGATTGAATTCCTCACAGCAAAATTTCATCCCAATGAGGAAAAGCAAGGCTTATTAAGAAAGAATATTTATCCAGAAATATATAAGGAAGTAAAAGATAGTGTCAAAATTTAAACAAAGACTGTCAAACTCTGCAAAATTTATTTTAAATAGAAGATTGGTCACATTTTAGGAACCCATGAAAGAATCAGTAAAAACATGGAGATAGTAAAGTATGAGTGAAAGCAAACGTAAACATAATAAAAACAGACTTTGTACAAGTACTTGCACAGGAAAATAATAGCTAAAGCAAATGTTTCTCTTCTGGAGCCTGGAGAACTTACAATGGAAAACGAGCAAATACTAGAAATATTGAACAAGCGTTTGGGTATGTCCTCACAACAGAAGATCCCAGATCCCAGTAACATCCCAGATATACTAGCAAATCAGGAAGGAATGGGGGGAGGTTCTTGAAGCAATTCTAATTGCCAGGGAAAATATGCGAAGAAAACTTGGATCTTATGACTGGCAAATTCCCAGGATCTAATGGCTTCTATCCTAGGGCTGCTCTGAGGGCCCCTGATATCTTCGGGAGGGGGCTTGGCTTTTCTGAGCCCAGGAATAATCTATCAAATGAAGAATACATTTGAAAGGAGCCAGCCAATGTGCGCAGAATAAATTGAAGAGCATTGTGATCATGAAAAGATATTGCATTGTTCACTTCAAATATTGGCCTGAAAGCAAGGGACGCTCTCCAGACGTTTTCGAAAAAAGTCCCTAATAAATTGTATGTCCAACAGAGAAAACGGACGGAGCGTCAGTTGAATAATATCCTCGGTATTTACGATCCGACAGCATAGAATAACTAAGTACGTACTCTGTGACAGGGCAGTGTGTTTTCAGTATAGACCCTCTCAAAATGTCTCGCTCCCTCAATAAGGACCTTCAGACACTCAGCCCTCCCACCCGCTCACCGCCCAGCCACCCACACATACTTCCAAATCCACTTCAGCACCGACTAACGCAATGGCTTCGATTATTGAGTAGGGCGAGGGATAAATGACCTCTGTTTTGAGCATGGACTGGAAAAGCTCCATTTGTGATCCTTGGAGCGGAGCAGATTGAAGCAAGATGTGTCAGAATTGCATCAAAGATACTTCAGTTGCATCTCGACATTGGAGGAGATGGAATGATTCTCTTTAGAGCAGAGTGAGGAAATCAGACAATTTGACACTTGATACTACCTCTTCAATCGAGTATTTATGCGAGCATATTTTCCACTCACAGGAGTAGCCCTCCAGAAAATAGTGGCAGCAGTGCAATTGCAATTTACAAGACGCACTGCAGCAACTATCCGCTTCGACAGCATCTTTCAGACCTGCGAACTTTTCCACCGAGCAGGACAGGGATAGAAAAAGCAGGAGGAACGCCGCAATCTTCAAGTTGATCTTCAAATCGGATACCGCCCTGACTTGGAATTGTGACGCATTTCCCTCACTTTCACTGAATCAAATCTCTGAGACTCTCTAACAGCATGGTGCGTGCACCTGCACAGTTTAACTGCAGTTGTTTAAGCAGACAAGTAACCACCACCTCCTCAAAACATTTAGGGATGACCAGCAAAGCCTTCCTTTCCAGCGACGCCCATATATTGTGAAAGAATTTTTAATAGCGTCTGTTAGCAGATTCCTGGGAACCAGGATAATTGACAGAAATATCGAAGTGTAAGGGGAGATGGTGTTAAATCCAGAAGAAAGAAGCCATAGAATCCCTACAGTGTGGAAACAGGTCATTCTGCCCAACAAGTCCACACCGCCCCTCTGAAGAGGATCCTATCCAGACCCATTCCCCATGTCTAACCTAAACAATTTAGCATGGCCAATCTATCTAACCTGCACATCTTTAGACTGTGGGAGGAAACCGGAGCACCCGGCGGAAACCCACGCCGACACGGGAGAATGTGCAAACTCTGCATAGACAGTCACCCGAGGCTGGAATTGAACCTGGGCCCCTGACCCTGTGAGGCAGCAGTGCTAACCACTGAGCCACCGTGCCGCCCTATTCTTGTAATTTGCCGTCGAAGACTTCAATCTTACAACTTGGAGCGTTTAACTGAGTGCCAGCAGAAATTTTCAACTAAATGAAAGCAAAACTAAAAAAACTGGATCTGTGTGAGCCTTGACCTCTCCCGCACATGCTTCTTTTAAAGCTATTTAGTCTGCATGTCTGGAGTATACAACCCGGTACAAGGGTGACGACACCCCCCTGCAAGAGAATCAGGACAGAACACAAGTCACAACTGTGACTGGCTAGTCATCACATATGCAAGCTAATCTACACAATTTCGAGATAAGCTATCTAATGTGCTAATGCCCTTTGGGAAGAAAACGTGCCTGTGTCGTCCGACCTGCACGTGATACTATATGTACAACAGCGTGGTTGACTGTTAAACTGTCCTCTGCAATGGCTTAGTAAAGTCTTCAATGTAAGGACAATTAAGTATATACAACACGTGCTATCCTTACCAGATATGTCCACAGGCGATCAAAGTGTTAAAGGAAAGTCAGGCAAATCCGTTTAAATTAATGAAAATATAGAATGTTCTACTTGAAAGTGTTACTGAAGTAGGCTGAACAGTAAATCCCAAAAACGAGTCAGATTAAATATTTCAACTCGAACCTAATTTGGGAAAGAATAGGTTATATGAATAACTGGAAAAAAGAAGAAAATAACGATAGGCCGACTGTTTAAAATACTGTAGTATTAAATCTAATGGGGAATTCAAGACAAGTGACGAAAACATGGAAGTCGTTGGCGCAGGTTGAGAAAAATAACGTAGATGCTTTTAAGGAGAAGCTGGTCAAGCAGATGAGATATCATTGGCTAAAAGATTTCCACATTGTCGAGACAAAGAATAATTAGAAGTGGATGATGTTAGACTAATTAATACTTCTTTCAAAGAGCCAGTACTGGATTCAATTGGCTGTAAGTCCTTATTCAATGTCGTATGATTCCATATTTTTAATAAGCCAGGCAAGTTCTCTTTTGTTTTAAGCAGAGAAAGTTTAACTTTCCCATCTGACAAATTGGGTTTTCGAGGACTAAAATCTTTACCACGCTGAACTGCACAATGCTTTGAAAATCTCTAAAAGACACCCAAAGTCTGAATTGTAGTAGGTTAACGGTTTACAACACGTGCTTGAACGTTATCTGGAGAGAGGTGTGCTTGTAACAAATTTCTGGAGATAGCTCAACTTCGCGTTGTATGAATAATTTTTAAGGCATAAGATTAACCATTTCTTGTTTGGTGGATTTCGTCCTCATTGATACTGACAATAAGGGGAATTTTAAACAGGCATTGAAATTCATCAATTTGTTTGAAAATGTAAGTAATTGAAAATGGTATGCAGAAACTAATATCTACAGGCAACATGTTCCTTAATCAGGGGCCATTGATTTAGGGTGACTTGCAAAAGGACCAGAGCAGAAGATCAGCAGAATTCTCAACGTCAAATTGTTTTTTTTATTTGAAATGCATTGGCTGAAAACACATTGTAACTAAATTTGGTAGTAGTCTTCAAAAAGATAATTAGAGAATTATTGGAAGAAATGTTTTTAGTGTTGTTGAGAGATGGTCAGGAGAATGACTTAATTAGGGAGCTGTTATATAAAACAAATTTGAGCATTATGAACTGATTGGATTTTTCTAAGTTGTGTCATTCTATGACTGAATGATAATCAGCCCTTCTCTCATTGCTATTGCAATTGTGCATATATCTAATAGAATAAACCTTGGACATTGGGGAAGTACAGAACAGTAGTTACATGCAATTTTGAATAAATAACACTCCATACAAATAGTTCTTCGGTTGTTCAGAATTTGAATACCACTGAAAAATATATTTTGTGAGGCATTTGTCTTCCAATCATCAAGAAAATTCTCAAGAAATACCAGATTAAGTGTAGTTTAGCCTATCCTTTGACATTTCGTGCAAATTGTCCTTATAATAATGTATTCACATAATTGAAAATTGCAGAGATAAAAAAGAATCGATGACAATTAAAACATATCATAATGTTTACTATTTGTTTAAAAGTTGCAATCTGTTTTTTGATGTTAGGCATATAGCAAATGGTAAATATTTTGATAGAAGAAAGGCAGTTCGATATGGCAACTTGATGCATCAATAATAGACATAATCAATCAAATACATCGACAGACAGACAGACAGATAGATGGACAGAAAGATAGTGACAGAGGTCTAGAGAAACTGTCAGGCCAATATATATTCTGAATCATTTAGGGTTTTATTTTTGTTGAGCCCTTCCATTCAGCTCAGTCAGTGTGTGTAAACGCCAGGCGCCGTATTACACGGCCGTGTGATTCACCCATCGGCCAAAAGACTGAGTGTTGTCAGATTGCCTGGTGGTGAAACCGTCCACCACTCAATTGGGAGTGATTGTTCTCATATAGGAATAGAAAAGGTTCTGAGGCTCGCGGCCACGAAGCCATTGACATCAATAGACGTTCAAGCGAGCATCAGCTTTTGCGTAATGACATTCCATACTGATTAGGGTGCCTGCGTTTTGGGATATGGAAGTGGGTGTCTGCTGGGTTAACACGACCGCCACATCTGTAAAACAGGAAATGAAAAGACCAATGTTGAAATCGACGCCCTTGAGGAAGCACAAATAAAAGCAAGACTGGCAGGGTGAGGGTGAGAGTGGATAGATTTAAAACGAACCTGAGGGACAACTTTTGCAAACAGAACATGGTGCGTGCATGGAAAGAGCTGCCAGAAGAAGTGGTAGAGTTAGGTATAATTACAACATTCAAGGTCATTTGGACAGGTACATGGATAGGAAAGGTTTAGAGGAACTAAGCCAAATGCAGGCAAATGGGACTAGTTCAGTTTAGGTGGTCGGTATGGACAAGTGGGACCAAAGGGTGTGTTTCCACACTGCATGACTCTATGACTCAACTTAAACCTATGCCTCTCGTTTCGTACTCCCCTACTCAAGGGAAAAAAACACTTTTCTACTCGCCTTAGCTATGCCACTCATGATTTTATAAACCTATGTAAGGTCACCCCTCAAACCTCCTCCTCTCCAGCCATCCAGCCTCTCCTCATAATTAAAACCTTTCAGTGGCGATAACAGTCTTGCAAATCTTTTCTGTACACTTTTCAATTTAAAAATATTCATTCTACAGCACACCAACCAAGCCTGAATGCAGTACTCCAAAAGTGGCCTCTCTACTGTCCCGTACAGCCGTAACATGACGACCCAGCTACAATATTCAATGCTCGGACCAATGGCAAGTATGCGAAACGTATTCTTCACCGCCCTGTATATCTGTGCCGCCATTTTCAAGGAACTATATACCTGAAACCCTAGGTTGGTCTGTTCCACAACATTCCCCAGGGCCCTACCATTAACTGCGTAAGTCCTGCCCTGGTTTGTTTTGCCAAAATGCAACATCTGGCATTTATCTAAATTAAACTCTATCTGCCGCTCCTCGGCCCATTTGCGCAGCTGATCAAGATGCCATTGCACTCTTAGATAATCTTCTTCACTGTCCACTATATCACCAATTTTAGTGCCATATAAATTTGCTAACCAAGCTTCCTATGTTCTCATCCAAATCATTTATACAAATGATAAACAACAGGGGACCCAGCACCGATCCCTGTGGAACATCATTGGTCACAGGTCTCCAGTCTGAAAAACACCCCTCTACCACCATTCTCTGTCTCTTGCTGTCCAGCCAAATTTGTATTCAATTGTCTACCTCTCCTTGGATCCCAGGTGATCTAACCAGTCTATCACGCAGAACCTTGTCGAAGCCTTGCTAAAGTCCACGTAGACAGCACCTGCCGCTCTTGTCCTCAGAAACTTCAACCAGATTAATGAGACATGATTTCCCATGCACAAATCCATGCTGACTATCCCTAATTAGTCCTTACCTTTCCAAATGCATGTAAATCCTGCATCTCAGCATTCCCTCTCCAACAACTTACCCTCCACTGATGTCAGGCTCACTGGTCCATAATTCCGTGGCTTTTCTGAAATAAAGGCACAACATTAACCATCCTTCAGTCTTCCAGCAACTCACCCGTGGCTTTAGATTATACAAATATCTCTGCAAAGGGCCACACAACTTCTTCCTTAGCTTCCCACAATATCCTGGGATACATTTGATCAGAGCCAGCGGGTTTATCATCTTTATCGGCCTTACGTCCTCCAGTACCTCTTCTTCCGGCATGTGGACTGTTGTCAAGACATCACTACTTATTTCCCTGAGCTCCCTCGCTTCCACGTCTTATATCATATACCTACCGTTAAAGAGTCAATAATACTCCTACTGGCGTCGCGTTTGTTTTTATTTGACCTGTTTGCCTAATCAACCTATTCAGAAGTGTTATTACACACCTCCCGACCTGGTGGAATTGAACCGGGTCTGTTGGTTCAGAAGTAAGAAGTGTATCACCGCGCTACAGGAGGGCCGACAAATGTCTTCTTTCCTTTGTTATTACTCCACCTGCATGGATTCTACATCTTCTGAACAATGATGATTTCTTGCTATTGTAGTTATTCTATCCATTGAACAAAACTACTCCATCGCCCTTTTCTTTCTGCCTGTCCTTTCTAAAAGACATATACCTCTGAATATTTAGTTGTCATTTTTGATCCCTTTGAATGCATATTTATGCCACAGGAGGTGAATGTTGTCTACCTGGTTTACACACACCACTAAGCTACTAAAATTTGCTACACAGGAGAAATTGGTTTTCAGATACTAAGGATATTAACGACATAAACGTCTTCTACCATTTAGTTTTATACCTGTGGATATTCGTACCTCGGCTTATTGAGAGGGATCACTGATGTGGCATGGTTTAGCAGTAGTCTCAATACAGGTAACACCAGAGAGGAAGTATACAATGTAGTATAAATTCCTTTCTCTCTTCGTGAATGCTCAATTATTAGAAACAGTAGTTCGGTTTCCAGTATGACTCCACGCTGTGTTCTCGGCCTTACAATCTTAGGAGGGAAATGTTGCGAATAGCTCTGTTACTAGAGTTGATAATCATGTTTCTCTGTAAAGAGTTTGAAAACAAATCCTTTCATTAATAAATTACCTTTACACCTTTCTTTTTTTTCTCAGAACATCACAGTTACCGACTTCTTCCGCCATACTGTTACAAAGGAAGACGAAAGGATGCCTACATGTGAGCGTACCGTACCTTTTGATAATTAAGAATGCAGATGTGTTTAGTTGCATTGTATTAGTAAATTGTGCAAATTTTGGAGGCGGTGGCAGAGTGATAAAGTCGCTGGACTGACAATGCAGGGGAACATGGTTAGAAGTACGCGGAGTGAGTGCTGACAAGAGAGAAGGGTTTATTTGAAGACACAAGCTTTCGGAGTCTCGCTTCTTCTCTGCATCAGTTCTATGACCCTTTGATCTTTTGATTATAAATGCTGTGTCTCATAAATTCAGTGTCTCTCTCACTGACACCTGGAGAAGGAGCGAGACTCCGAAAGCTTGCGTCCTGATGGACTATAACCTGGTGTCGAGTGATTTTTTACCTTGTCCACTCCAGTCCAACACCGGCATCTCCACATCAAGACAGAAAGGACAAGAGAACAACCCATACTGAAATTGCGAGAGAAAGGAAAATATTAACACTAAGGTCGATCAGACAGTTCCATTCGAGGAAGGGCGGGCGCGTACGTCACTTCCTTTCGCCCTTCCTCTTTCCAATCGTTTTAGAAGAGTGGGATGGTATTCACACACTCCTCAATTCTGCTCTCGCCTCTTTACAGATTGAGAAGACATTATAAAATATGAAGTATCCTTTACTATTTCTGATTATGTGTCATTTGTAAGGAATATATCTCAACAATAATATCATTTAATCAACACTTCATAATTGTGTTTGTTTACATTTTCCCGTTCTTTTAATCCGCATATTGTTATCCATTGGTCCAAATGACTCCTCTGACCTCCACCGTTTCACCCTGTCTTTTCCAGGCGTGCAATTGCAGGCTATCCGCCAGACTCCCACCGCTGTCTCCAGACCTCCCCAGGATGAACTAGAACTGAGGTGCGCTGTGGAGAGGAGCACTAACACCATCTACATGTACTGGTACAGGCAATACCCAGGGAAGGAACCGGAGTTGTTATTTTATTCCCTAACCACGGAAAGAGTGAATGCAGATCAGCCGGCACTTGGTTTCACAGCCAAGCGTCCAAGTAAATACCTATTAATCCTGGAGTCCTCCAGCTTGTTGGCGAATCACTCGGCCATGTATTACTGCGCTTGGCGTCTTCACAGTGACTCACAGAGAGGGTGCAGCTCAACAAAAAACCCAAAGGCATGTCACCGCTGTGAGAACTGAAATCAGACGGCGCTTCGTCCTATTGAGGTTTATTTTGCAGAGTGAAATAGTTTTGATGAGAACACCAGCCGTGTTTAAATGGAGATTCAGAGATTGCGTACTGAGTGCTGAATCCAATGGTACAGGGTATGTGCAAGCGTGCTATCTGAAGTGAGTCGTTAACATTAACTGAGAGGCTAGGAGTCTTTGTGAAAAACAGACCGTCGGATAACCTCTTAGATGCCTTTAAAGTTAGGGTTGAATGGGATGCACGTAGGTAAAACCATAGCAATATTTTCAGATAATGGTAACAATTTTACATATGCTACAAGTTTTTTTTGCGAAGTGAGAAAAAATACGGCGACTTTTTTATGCACTGACGCTACTTGAAAAGCAGGGACAGACAATTGCAACAATGGGCGGTCTGGATGTTCAGTGGTTAGCACAGCCACCTCACAGCGCCAGGGATCAGGGTCCCATTTCAGCCCTGGGTGATTGTATGGAGTTTGCACGTTCTCCCTGAGTCAATGTGGGTTTCCCGTTTTCCCCTCACAGCCCAAAGATGTACAGGTTAGGTAGATCGGCCATGCTAAACTGTCCACAGTGCCAAGGGATGTACCCTGTTAGTCATAGTAAATGTGGCATCATGCGGATAGCTTCGCGGCTGGGTTTGGGTGGGATTCTCTTTGGAGGGTCAATGTAGACTTAAAGGGCTGAATGGCCTCTTTCCACATTGTACGGTTTCTATGAACGATGATAGAGCCTGCATAACGAAATGCAAGGGCGCATGAAAGGTTTTTTAATTAGAATAAATGGACAGAAGGACGTCAATCGGAGGAGGACACCATTTATCTTCTCTAGGGCCTGACGCGTAGGTACTGGAGGAATCCTTTCCAGCCTGTGAAAATTGTTATAAGGGAACAGGGGGGAACCCGTTAAGCGTATGTGAAGTCGGTTATATAGAAACTACAGAAAGACATTCAGCCATTCTTAGGGGGAAACAGGAGGAGGTCCATTCTGTTTCCATTAGTTCTGAGGCTCTCCACCAGGATGCTATCGATACCTGTAGAAGAAAGAAGTAGCTGTAGCTTCTGATCAAAGACAGTCCATACTGATTGAAGTGCCAGGGCGTTGGGATATAAAAGCGGGTGGCTGTCGAATCAGCACGGCCGTCACGTCTGTAGAACAGAGAATGTAAAGATATGACACAATTCAAAGGGCACACGACAGCAGAGAGCAATATGAGGGGCAATGATACTGCAATAGAAAAAGGATGAGTGACAGATAAAGAGAAACAGGACCTGAGATAGACAAGGAAAACGAAAGAGAATGAGGCATAGAGGAGACAAAACCAGAGAACGTGAAAAGCGAAAGAGAAACATAGAACATAGAACAGAACAGTATGGTACAGGCCCTTCGGCCCACGATGTTGTGCCAACCTATTATCTTACTAAGATCAAACTACCCTGCATACCCTAATTTGTACTATCATTCATGTGCTGATCCAACAATCGCCTAAATGTCTCTAATGTATCTGACTCCAATACCACTACAGGCAGCACATTCCATGCGCCCATCACTCTCTGTGTAAAGAACTTACCTCTGACATCTACCCTATAGCTTCCGCCAATCACCTTAAAATTATGACACCTCGTAATAGTCATTTCCGCCGTGGGAAAAAGTCTCTGGGTATCCATTCTATCTATGCCTCTCATCATCTTGTACACTTCTATCAAGTCACCTCTCATCCTTCTTTGCTCCAATGAAAAAAGCCCTAGCTCCCTCAACCTTTCCTCATAAGACCTGCCCTCCAGTCCAGGCAGCATCCAAGTAAATTTCCTCTGCATCCTCTCTAAAGCTTCCACATCCTTCCTATAATGAGGCGACTAGAACTGAACACAATATTCCAAATGTGGTCTAACCAGGATTTTATAGAACTGCAGCATAACCTCGTGGCTCTTAAACTCAATTCTCCTGACTATGAAAGCCAACACACCACATGCCTTCTTTACAACCCTGTCAACTTGGCTAGCAACTTTGAGGGATCTATGGACATGGACTCCAAGACCCCTCTGTTCCTCCACACTGCCAAGAATCCTGCCATTAACCCTGTATTCTGCATTCAAATTCAACCTTCCAAAATGAATCATTTCACACTTTTCTGGGTTGAATTCCATCTGCCACTTCTTTGCCCAGCTCCGGATCCTGCGAATGTCCCATTTCAAACTACAACAGCCCTCCACGTTATCCACAACTCCATCAACCTTCGAATCATCAGCAAACTTACTAACCCACCCTTCCACTTCCTCATCCAAGTCATTTATAAAGATCACAAACAGCAGAGGTCCCAGAACCAATCCCTGCGGAACACCACTGGTCACTGAGCTCCAGGCTGAATACTTTCTATCTACCACCACCCTCTGTCTTCTATTGGATAGCCAGTTTTGTATCCAGACAGCCAAATTTCCCTGAATCCCATGCCTGCTTACTTTCTGAATGAGCCTACCATGGGGAACTTTATCAAATGCCTTGCTAAAAACCATATACAATGCACCCATTGCTCTGCCTTCATCATTATGTTTTGTCACATCCTCAAATAATTCAATAAGGCTCGTGAGGCATGACCTGCCCCATACTATTTCTAATCAAACTGTGCTTTTCCAGATAATCATAAATACTATCTCTCAGAATTCTCTCCAATAATTTGCTCACCACAGAAGTAAGACTGACTGCTCTGTAATTCCCAGGATTATCCCTATTCCCTTTCTTGAACAAGGGAATGACATTTCCCAACCTCCAATCATCTGGTACTATTCCAGTGGACATTGAGTTTGCAAAGATCATCGCCAAAGGGGCAGCAATCTCTTCCTTTGCTTCCCCTAGTAACCTTGGGTATATCCTGTCTGGCCCGGGAACTTATCTATCCTCATATTTTTCAAACTTTCTAACACATCCTCCTTCCGAACATCAACATTTTCGAGCATATCTGCCTGTTTCATGCTGTCCGCACAAACGTCAACGTCCCTCTCACTGGTGCATACTGAAGCAAAGTATTCATTAATGACCTCCTCTACCTCTTCTGACTCCGTGCACAAGTTCCCTCTACTATCCCGGATTGGCCCTACCTTCACTCTGGCCATCCTCTTGTCCCTCACATAAGCATAGAATGCCTTGGGGTTTTCCTTGATCCTACCCGCCAAGGCTTTTTCATACCCACTTCTAGCTCTCCTAAGTCCATTCTTCAGTTTCTTCCTGGCTACCTTGTAGCCCTCTAGAGCCCTGTCTGATCCTTGATTCCTCAACCTTAAGTAAGCTTCCTTCTTCCTCTTGACTAGATGTTCCATATGTCTTGTCATCCAAGGTTCCTTCACCTTACCATCCCTTCCTTGCCTCAGTGTGACAAACCTATCCAGTACTCGCAGCAACTGCTTCCTGAACAGCCTCCTCATTTCTGCCGTGCATTTCCCTGAGAACATCTGTTCCCAATTTATGCTCCGCAGTTCTTGCTTAATAGCATTGTAATTCCCCCTCCCTCAATTAAATACTTTCCCATGCCGTCTGCTCCTATCCCTCTCCATGACTATAGCAAAGGTCAGGGAGTTGTGATCACTATCACCGAAATGCTCTCCCACCGAGAGATCTGACACCTGCCCTGGTTGTTGCCAAGCACCAAATCCAAAATGGCGTCCCCTCTGGTCGGCCGATCTGCATATTGAATCGGAAATCCTTCCTGGACACATACAAGATTACAGACAAGAGCAGAGATTCACAAACAAAAGCAAAATACTGCCGATGCTGGAGAACTGAAATAAAAGCAAGAAATTCTGAAGGAACTTAGCACTCATGGCATTATCCTGAGGAGAGAAACAGAGCTATATTTCGAATCTAGCAATTCTTTTTTGGGACCCATTCACATAGCTAGAGCTAAAACAAATCACAAGAAGGAGTAAGGAGTGAATGAAGGCGAGAGGAACTGAAGTGATGAAGAAGAGTGACCGACAGAAACGGTGATAGACAGAATTTACACTTTTAAACGGTACAAAGGAGCCCAGATAGGCGGTTTAAACCCAAAAAGGAAAGACACAGCACAATTACAAATGGCTGATCCATCAGACTTCAGCTCCGCTTACCAGTTAATACCAGCAATACAATAGAGTTGAGACACAAACATCTTTGAAGGAAACCGTTGTTTTATTGCATGAAATAACCAAAGTATTTCACTGTAGAATGTCTCACATTCAAGACACAGAGAGAAATTTATATATCCTCATTTCAATACTTCA